CATTCACATCTGTTCGTGATATAAGTGATTGCCAGTCCTTACAGTCTGATCTGGATAATGTATGCGATTGGTGTCGGCTGAACAAGCTTCATTTTAACGTGGCCAAATGTGAATCAATGACATATTTTTTGGGGAGGAAGCCGATAGAATTTGTGTACAGAATAGATAATAATATATAAATTTGAAATCAGTTGTCAGAAAGAGGGACCTAGGTATTATTTTTACCAACAATTTATGCTTTGCCGAGCACGTGAAAACCATAATTTCCGCAGCACTTCGACTCTTAGGATTTATTATAAGAAATGCTTACAGTTTTTCAAATGTGGAACGTTAAAATTATTATTCAATTCATTGGTGCGATCTAAATTAGAATACGCGGTAATTGTATGGGATCCTGGATCAGACCTTTATTCAAACTTAATCGAAATTATTCAAAATAAGTTTATTCGGTATACTTATTACAAACAATTTAATGCCTTTATCGGGTTCAGATCGTACGAATTTGCGCGTACATTATTTGATATAACTAAGTTATCTATTAGAAGGAAAATCATATCGCTTTGTTTTCTATGTAAAATATTAAATAATAAAATAGGAAATGTGGACGATTGAAAAATCTATTTTACATTCCCCGCTTTACCACTGAACTCAGAAGAAATACTCCTTTTATTAGAATTCTCTTGTTATATAACAAACTATCTATGGCTTCCTTCATTCCACTATTTGGCGTTGATGTAAAAACAGTAAAAAAGAATTTGATGTCTGTGATGAACGTTGCAACCGCCCAGTGCAGTGGCTGATCTTATAAAATCTTATTATAGTTCATAATTCTTCGCGCATTCTGTTCCATTCCTCTGTTCTGTTTTTATGTTATTGTTTTATTTTGTTTCATTTTGTTTATTTTTACTTATTTGCTTTTTTATTGTATGCTTACAAATCGAGTACGGCTTAGTTTAATATTTAATTTAGTTTAATATTTAGTTCAATTTTGTTTAATAATTATGTAGTAATTCCGAAATCTGTAATTAGGGGAAACCCTGTTTATTTTGGATGAATAAATAAATAAATAAATCTATCTGCTCATCCCATCCAATTTTATTTTTCCACATTTTCTGTAACATCAGCTTAGGATACAAAGTTGTGGGGCTGGTTACTCCAATTGGATCGAATATTCGCTGAGCGTAAGAAAGAACAATTCTCTTCGTAATCACGCCATTCGTTGTCTTAGATGTATAACAAAGCATTAGAGTGTCATGTCTTGTATTCCAATTTAATTCCAAGAATGGTGCAAAGTGATCTTCCAAACTTTCTATCTTGCTACACGTCCACCCTGTCAACTCAAACCCACCTGCGGCCCTCAGTGCGGCGGCTTCTCTTACGAAAAGATCTTTTGTTTGCTCATCTGGTATGCTAGTGAGACAATCGTCTACATAAAATGCTTTTCTTAACCGGTTTACAGTGGATTCAGAATAAATGTTTTCCCCTTCTCCTCCACAATATTTTTCAGTATGTTGCTCTAAAGTATCGGCGAGTAGAAAAGAACTTGAATTCACCCCAAATACCACCCTTCGGTGAAGATATAGTAAATTTTTTCCTTCGTCTGTCTTCCATATGAATCTCAGGAAATCTCTATCCCTGACATTCAGGCGAATTTGTAAAAACGCTTTTCTGATATCCGATGTTACTCCAACCCTTTCTATTCTAAAGCGTAACAACACATCAGGAATCAACTCAATCAAATTTATACCTTTCTCCAAGCAATCGTTTAGAGATGGTGTTCGCTTTTCCTTGGTTGAAGCATCAAATACCGGACGGACCTTAGTTGTGGTACTGGACTCTTTGAATACGGGTCGATGCGGTAAATAACGTGCAGTATTGTCGATTTCATCTTGGGGTATCCTTTCTATAATCCCTTCCGACAACCACTGTGCAAAAACATCAGAGTATCTTTCAACGTCCCCCGTTGCTTGAAGTTTGTTGTATACAGATTGAAGTCTCTTCTTCGCCAAATTGTAATTATTCGGTAATGGTGGATGTCCTTCCTTCCAAGGCAACTGCACCTCATACCGTCCTTCTTCATTTACCACTGTCCTCTCCTTAAACAATGTTTTAACTGCCTTTTCTAATTCAACTTTAGACCGGTTCTCTTCTGGATCCGAAATTCCTGTCCCCAGCTGCTAAAGTTTTGAAATCGGCATATCTTTTGTCAACAATGACGTGCTATGGCAAAAACGTTCCCTTTTGAAAGTTTTGTCGTTCTTACTTTTCCCATAAGTGTCCACCCGAGTAATGTCTCCAACGCTACGAGTCCACATTTCAACTGCAGTTTCTTACGGTAAGCAGTTTCCCAACATCTGCTCCTATCAACACGGATACTTCACGGCAATTGCCCGTGTCACTCAGTTTAATACCAGCGTTTTTTAATTCCGTCGTCCAAGCCCCATTAAAAACATTGGGAATTGCGGAACATATATATAGTCGGCTGATCTACAACTTCAAATTTACAGGCAAATTCACCATCAAGACGTACCAATCTTATTTCATAGCATCGATGTTCTTGTTCTTCAGTTTCAGTTCCTCCAAATAACGCATGAACAATCCTTTCTGTTCGTTTTGTCCGACACTTCGTCCGACACGACGTTCTGTCCGGACAAAACGAACTGTCCGACACTTTATTTCGGTGACAACAGATTTCAATACATAAGACCTTTGAGATCCAGTATCTATAATAGCCCGAACTTTCTTCTCTCCACCAGACCCGGTTATCTTCACCACAAATGTCTGCAGAAAAACGTGCATGTTCGTGCAATTACTCAAATTTACATCTTCGGTCTTCTTTTGAAGTTGACTCGCCGATTTATCTGCTTCTAAACTGGGACACAACAAAACAATATGTTGCTCTCCACAAAGAACGCATCTTAATTTCACGCGACATCTTCTACTCAAATGTTCCAATTGTGTGCATCGAAAAGGCCCTTTTGTTATTCAAAATGTTTTCCTTTTCGTTTAAATCCATTTTCTGAGCATTAAAACATTTGTCCGTAACATGATTCCCTTCACAAAAAACACACTTGCTTGCAAGCCCATTGTTGATGAGCCCCGCTGCTGTGGCTTGTGTTGGTTCCACATTCTTTATCTTCGCAGACTTTCCTTTGGTTTCTACGCCAAAACCCTCCACCGTCAAAGCGATCCGTTCTTCTCCTTCAACATTGGCCTTCAAAAACTCCATAAGGTAATTGAGCCTAGTCTTTGATGGATTACTTGCTTTATTTGTGGGTTCCGGCGTCCTTTTCCAGACACGTAACAATTCCTCTGGTAAGCAGGACTCAACAAGCGGATATAACATGGCCGCACAAGTGTCAGTAGTAATTCCCAGCGTTTCCAAGGCTCTTAGTTGTGTTTCTAATCAGTCATACAGTGTTACCATCTGGCATATTCCACCGCGATCCATTGCGTTATTGAGCACTAACTTAAGCAATTTCCTAACATAGACTTCCACGAGCATGTCTTTTCTTCCAAAACGCGCTTCCAAAGTCTCAATTGCTTTGACATAATTGTCCGCAGTCGGGGGAAAACAGTCTATTAAATCTTTGGCCCTCGAGTTTGGTATCATTACTGAAATTAAATATTGAAATTTATCTTCCGGTGCTAAATCCTCGTCCTCGTGTACCTTTTTAAATTGTCTCCAGAAAGCTAACCATTCTCTTTCGTCCCCGTCGAATTTCTTGAGTTCGATCTTAGGTAGTTTGAATTTATGCGATAAACTTTGATTTGCGAGTATCGGCGCAGATGTCGATGCCGTCGATACCGCGTTTGACAATACTTTATTCATCAATATCTTTGTCTGCTACGCCGTTCGCAATCATTAATTTTAAAATTTGAGTATCGCTAACCTTTAGGTCTCCCATTTTCTCTACTAAGAGGTTAAAAACAGCTTCCAAATCATCGAGATCAGGGTTGTTTGCCGCCAAAACAGTGTCCACTTCTCGGGATGATCGAGTAAAAGCGCTGCGAAGAAGCGCACGCCGTTTTCTTTCTTCGTCCATTATCGAAAACCACACCCAAACAAATTCTAACACGCAAAAGTGATAGGTAACGTCACGCGCACGGAAATCTTCACATACAAGAGAACTACCCGTTCTCTGAGTAATCGTACAGTAATTGTGGTTTTCTATTTAGTTTTATTCTTAAATCAGTTGAACACAATAATCAATCGAATTATTTGACAAAACTAATATCAGAACTAATATTTATTAATAATCTTTTTTTGTGTCGCTATGACATTGTTGCTAACGAACGAACAACTATTTTGCGTTTTGGATTGCAAAACCCGTTCTTTTAAAAATAAAAACTTAAACGTCCCAAATCATCAACAGTATGCAAAAAAAATATATGCATCCCATTTAAAATTACAATGTTGGTTGCCATAGCAACGAAACAATACAAACAAGTAAATATCACCAAAAAATGCGCCATGATTAATAAAGAAACTTGTATTTGAAACATTTTTCTTTAAAACCACAAATGGCGAAGTTATTGGCTATATTCCAGAGATTTGACACATCCTGTATAGCCTGTTGACTGTTTATTATAAAACCGGTTATGAATTGGCGTAAAACAATACCGATAAAAGAGAGGTTGGCGATAACTTTGCGGTATTATTGTTCGCAATATGTATTCTGTGTATCTAAGTAAACCATATCAACATTAAATATAAAAAAATTAAAATTCCGATGAATGAAATTTATTTGTTCTCAACTACCGGTTTCGGAAAAAGTTTCCGTCATCAGGTTGTTGCGTCAATTGAAACTTTTTCCGAAACCGGTTGAGAACAAATAAATTTCATTTATATTTAACATTACTGACCGAAGTCAACAATGGAGTCCTTTATCAAACTTATCAACATTAATCCCCGAAGTGTGTAAAGCTATGACGGATACTCTTTGGGATATGGTAAAGGTAAGAAAAATTTCTTTATTATATTATTTTTATTATCAGTTTAAAGCCATGCGAAATACAATAAGATAATTCGTAGAATATATGTATCAAAACAGCGAATTAACTATATCAATTTGGATCTTATATTAGTATTAGATGAGTGCGAAACATCCGTCAGAGAAGAGGTAAAGTATTCTGGTCGCTTTTCATCATCCATTTCATCATGGTAGCCGGATGTTTGTTCATTTATACATGCCATATCGGCCTCAAATATAACAGTATTTATGGAATGTTTAACTTTTGTCAATGTTCTGGCATCGTATTTTTTAAGCTCAGCCGCGATATGCATACCAAAAGCAATGTATGGATCGTTACTGTTGTCTGTCTGCTTGCGAATTAATTCAATTGCATCTTCTAGTATTTGGTCTTTAACATCAGTAACAGAATTGTCATAAGAACGTTTTACTGCTTTATTTTTTAATTTTTTCTTATATCCTCTTAAAGATGTATTGGTTTCAGAGACGCTATTGGCATTTCGATTAGTATTTACAATTTCATTTGTAATTGCATTGTTGCTATCTGTGTCTAAGGAAGAACTGGAATCCTATAACAAATAGTAAACAACGTTTATAACCTATTCATCTGATAATAAACATGGATTTCCTCCCATGTTAACTATAAATATTGCATTTTTCAGATTACACAATCAGAATATGAGTGGCTGGCATTTGCAAAAGAATTCGAGAAAGAATGGAATTTTAAAGAATTTTATTCAAGCTCCTTTTCGAAGTGATATTCACACTGGTATTTGCAATTTTTTAGCAAGACATTTTGTAAATAATGCGCCGCGGCGGTTCCATGCCAATGTAAGTGTTAAATACTTATTTTTGTTTAAAAAGTGGGTAAAACTTACCATTGTATCAAATGTCTCCACAGGATTATTTTTGTCATCTAAGAAGTAAAATGATTGATAAGCATACCATTTAGATTTATATGACTTGTTTCTACCTGCAACAATAAAACATGCACTTAGATATTTTTCTTAAGAGCCCACTTTACCAGGTCGGTCAGTTTCTGTGGGGCGCAGACGACGGGCGTTCGGAAGCAACGAGATTATAGAGATTTATATATAAAAAAAAACATCGTGTTTATTTTATTACGATTCTTTTTCTCGTCGATGTTGTTAATGAAGAAATCAAACGGCTTCTTCTAAATATTATTGTTTATTAACAATTTTTCTTAATTACGAATCACAATCAATCTTTTTATTGACTTTCCAATTTATTTATTATTTTGATTTTTTATTAATAATCGTAGTTGTAGCCCACTTTTTTACTACGTTTGTTTTTTTTAAGTACATATTTTGGTTCACAACAATTTACATTACGCAAATATCAGTTTTTTAATGCTTTTTTTTGATATGAATAGAATATTAATTTTTTAATAGAGAAATTAGAGAAAGAAGTTGAGAACATCTAAGATTATGGGTTTATAATTCAATTGAATGTAAGGCAAAAATCATTTTCAAATGCAATAAATAATTTTGCGAGGCATAAAACATTTATAAGATTTTAAAACGAAAATAACATTCATAACTTCATTTTGTATTAAAATAGATACACAGGAAAAAATCGTGTCGTGTAAAAATTTTAGAGTAGTTGGTAAAAAGAATTAGAGTAAAAATTGTAATACCATATGGTAAAAACAACTCTAATGTACACTATATTTAATATTAATATAGAGTTCATATATTATTCACTTAATAGAGTAGTTTTTACAGTTCTCTGAAGGAGAGTTCTTTTTTACTCATGTTAGTGAAGTTATGTAATATATAAAACATTAAATTTTACACAACACGTGTAAATTGTACTTTTCCTTCAGGTACTTCGTAGGCATCGCACTATTTTGCTCGGGATTACTCGTCGGTACCACGTGATCAACATGTGGTGTGATACAGCCATTGAGGTCTTATATATAATCTCATATATATACTATCTCCTATATCGCTGACTAAGGCAGCAAAAGAGTGTAAACACTAGAGTGCAGATATATATATATCTGTCTCTGTCGTGCCCCCGTCTACTCAAGAGATATGCGTGAACACGTGGTGAGTACGCTTTTATCTTATTGGACGGAGAATTAAAAATTAATAGCAGCTGATGACCTTGATGTTTATAAATCACCAAATAAATGTTTGACATAAACATAACCTAAAATCTAAATATTTAGTTACGTATATTATAGGTAGGTTTCATGTTTATAATAACATAATTATTAACATATTTTAGGACTAAGCAATTTAAAATGTAATTATTATTTGTTAAGAAAGTGAAGAAAATTTGTTAAAAGTAAAATAAAAAAGAAAAAGAGTAGGAGAGATATTTTTGAGGCCTAAAAATTGGTTGAGCAAGTAGAAGGAAAGATCTCAGTGTAATAAAAAAGAATTCAAAGCCCTCCTTTTCTTGAAACATTATTCTTAAAAATTTAATTAATAATTACATCGATATGATGAAAATGTTATGATAGAATATTATGTACATTAAATAGTAAGTACCCTAAGTACATATTTTATATCTTTAATTAATGTAACAACTTTATTAAAGGGCGTGAGCTCACAAATTATGTTAAAAATTAATAACTATATTTTGGTACACATTTTCAATAATTACTATGTATATATGTATTAATTTAATTTTAAAGAATATAATGTTTAATGAACAACCTACATAAAGTTGATATTTAAAGCAATATTCAACGTCAATTTCACACAAAAGTACATATATTCTAATTTATTTGATGCATCCACGATAATTTATAATTAAAGTCAATTATCTACAATAATTACATTTCAAAGTTGCATAAAATACGCGCGAAACACTTCAAACTCTTTAAAATTTACGATTCACGCAAGCGCCTTCGCGACATGGGGGCACGACAAAGACAAAACATATATCATTCCGTCTGCTTTTGATGGAAACGCTCGCCACTCATTGCTTAGATAGGGAGTTAGCGATATAGGAGATAGTATATATATGTATAATCTAGAGAGCGTATATGGTGGTGGTGGGGGTAATCAGAAAGTCAGACATGTTGGATGTACCGACCTGAACTTAGCTATAGTTTCAAGTCTCTATTGTACCTACAATTATAACCTCACAATTCTCATAAACATATTGTTATTTTTATTAAAATTTGATTTTTGTTGAAAGTTTTCGAATTCTTTTCGTTTCACATATGTTTTTTATAATTTGATAGGTTGGACAATTATTTACAACAGTCCATAAAATGTTTCTGGTTACTTGACTTGGAATTAACAATTAAAGAACTCGGTATAAGAAGGGGACAACTCCTTCTCTTGATAAATGGAGCTACTCCCTTCTTGCAGCAAGGTCTTCAATTGAAGTTCAAGTAAAGTTTATTATTAAGGACTGTTCAGTTTTTTTTAAATAAACTAACAATTATTTATAAGCAAAGGTTAACGTGATCAATCGGAATTGCTTTAAATATTTTCTTCTTAGTTTTTGTTAATTATAAGGGTTATGGCTAAAAATTATTAAGTTCTTTTAAAATATCATATAATTAATAATTATTTATCAATAAAAAATTAATGTTTTGTTTTGGTTATTATTTTCTGCCTTTCCAGTTTATAATAATGTAAATTCTTGCATAAGTATATATAAGAATTTCGAATTTCCCGCTAAGTTGGTACATCTAACATGGCGACCTTTCTGGCTTCATTTTAGGCGTGGTGGGGACAACAGCATACGCACTCTAGATTATATATAAGACCTCAATGGATACAGCTAAAATTTAACGGTCATCTACTGAACGAGTCGGAACTCGACAGCATCTCGAGACCTGATTTACGCGATATAAAGAGAAAGAACGATTATTTTTATTTTAATTATGTTTGCCAAACATTCGTGTTGTGAAATTAGTGGAACTTCCGGAAGATTTTACCTACGAATTCCTTGCGAAGATTGGTAAGTATGTACAACTATACATACAGAAAACTTATAGAAGACTCATTAGATGCAGTTTTAATGGTGACTCGGTGGAATCTTTAAAATGGATTAAGTATGGTTATATAAAAAGAATTTAATTACAAGTAAAAATAAAAACAAATATTTTATAATTTTGATTTTTATTACAAACCTAAAACCTTCCTAAAAATATTCTATACTTCCTATTAAAAATTAACACTAATAAGTGAAAGATACACACTATTTAGTGATATTTTGTCACTTAATAGAGTAAAATTAGAACGAATCTTTAATAATTTACAGTGCTAATTTTACACTGATTAGATTAGAAATGAATCTAATTTGAGTCACGACAACATCTAATTAGATTACATATAATACACTGTTATAGAGTAACGATTTTACACTATTTAATAAACACCATCTTCTCACTATTTAGTGTAAAATTTTAATCTATTCACCTACACTATATAAAGCAAAAAAATAACTCTAAATATATTGGACTCTATTGGTTTTAGAGTTGATTTTTACTCTATATTTTTTCCTGTGTATATTTGCAATACAGGGAATGTGAAAAGTTCGGTACAACATTTATAAATTATATCTTTGTTGTATTATTATGCGTTCGTTTGATATACAGGTGTCTCAGAGTAACCGTGTAAGTAATTTTATTTGAAAACACAGGTAGTTACAAAAATTAAAGAAAAAATGTAATAGCTGAATAAATTCTTTCTTGGCTGTGCAAAGCATATCCATTTTATGAATATTATTACTTTTCATTCTAACTTTTTTAATATTTCTGTTTAAAAAAATGGACTGCATGGATGGTCTGCATCACCTTGTATAAGTAAATGAAATAATATGTAATACCTAATTAATAATAATATTAAATAATGATTCAAGTATACAAAATATGGCTAATAGTGTAATAAATAAAACAGCCCTGACTAGAAAAATCTTTAGGAAATTTTAATTTGCCATCGTTGAATAGATGTAAGCTCTTGAAATTCGCTGGATACTTCACCTCGATGATGGACATTTTCGTTTTTTATTGTTTCATTTGGACTTGCAACTAAGAATCCATACATCTTACGGATGAATAGAGCTCAAGAGTTTGCTGACAAGTTATATTTACTTTCAAATTTTTTGACTGCAAGCCATTCATAGTCTTGGCCATGTTTACTGTTATTATTTCGAGTACAAGATTGATTTAACTTTATTTAAGCAAAACGTGTCATTTCTCATCATACATACATCACCAAATCTCGATGCAGTTAGGCACAGATACCTTTCTTGGATCCATTTCCGATTGGTACTTTAGCTTCTGGTAAGAATTTGTATTTTATTTCTGTTAATGCATCCATCTTGCAAGTTTCCAATAAATTCTTCTTTCCTTTATATTCTTCATGTGAAATGTCACTCATAAATTATAACCGAATTGCTATCATTACCCTGATCGGCTTTCGCTACCTACCTGAATTACCCTGTATACACAAGTATTTTATTTTATTGTATACAATTATTTTATAGCAGTACCACTCCGTATGATGCATCGTAATTGACGTTGTTCGAGCGTTTAGCGTTTACACCAGGCATCTGTAATTAAGGCTATCATAGGAATTCAGTCTTTATTTACTTCTCCTGAAGCTGTAACTAAACTAATTCTTCTTCACCTGCGTTCTTCATAGACTGCCATGCTTAATCCATGATTTTGTCACTTACGGTTTCCTGATATTTTTGGAATGTTTTTATTAACATAAATGGTATATCCACACATAACAATAATTCTTCAGTCTGTGTATATCCGGTACCGACAGATAACAGAAACAACAGCAGAGTTTATCTCAATCGATTCTTTGCTTTCTTCAGTGTAAAGCTTCTTTTTTATCCCGCACATAAAACATAAAAGAAATGAGCTGCCAAGCCCTTCTTTTGACTCATTAATAAATTTAATGCGAGTTTTGTTGCAGTTGAATGGATTATTCTCCATCATCAGTATTTGGTTTTGCATCATTTGTATTATTTATCTTATGGTATCACTTCAAATAATGTATCGTTTTAATTTTTACTTTTTATATATTTTTACTTTTTATGTGCGCCACAGTTTATTCAATAAAATTAATAAAATTTAACTTACCTTTCGGAATGAATACATTTTTCAATTGAATCTCGGACTATAAAATATGAAATTCTAGATTTTATAAAAATTTATATCGTAAATTATTACCGTCTATTACTCCTTTTTCGAGAACATCTTCAAATGCTAAGGGATAGTTTTTTAGATGAACATACTTACCCATTGTTTATAAAAACTTTACACAAACTAAATTAAACTAACACTATGGTACACAATAAAATAACAACTATTGACTATAAACTCAAAAATTTAGTTAAATTACACAATCATTAGTAGAAAATCACGGAAAATAAAGTTCAAAACGTACTTTTGGAAATGATTATTTTCTCTACCACATTAAAAAAGTAATAGATAAAACAAGGAGCTTCGATGAAGAGAGTCGATATCAGCGCCGCTCAGTCGGCAGGAGGCGGGACTAACGCGGTGGTAAATTTATTTGAAAAATATTACTATTTTCAAGTATACTATCATGCAAACTAAAAAAGAACGACCAAATTCTATAATATTGAGGAAAAAACCCCCTTTTTTTGGAAAATTTTAAAAATTTTCACCATGCGTTGTGTAGAATTGTTAGAAGAAGCTATGTACAAATATTTTCATAAATAATGTATGTTTTTTGTAATTTGCCGAGCTGTATGGTAAAGTAGCCTCTTAACTTACAACGTAAACTATGATTGTGGTACAAATAATAAGCCATTAAACTAACCTGATCTAGTTACATTACTATTCTTTTCTCTGTTTCTTTCTCGTCTATACGCACTTAAAAGACTTTTCATTTTAGCCTTCAATTCCTTCTTAGATAGATCAAAATTTTTGGCTATTTCGTCCCATAGGTGTTCTCGTTTAATTTTATTGTAGTATCCTTTTTCTTGTGGATCCCACAACGTCTTCAACGATCCATATAATTCAATTAAACGAATCGACGTTTCGTTATCCATTTCTTGTATGCCGCAACACGTCCGCACACGCTTACTTACGAATGATTACTAAAAATGTTCGCGAGCGGCAGGAAGGGTGAGGCATACCGCTCGCGCAAGCCGTCCAATCACCGAGCGACACGCCGCGCGCGGCAGCCGCGCTTGAATGCCACGCTATATTTGGACACACCCTTACAGTTTCACAAAAATACACAATTACATAAATTTAAGCTGCTTGAAGATTATAATTTTTATTATATTTACTCTGTAGTAATATAATTTACTTATAATTTAACTAATATAATAAAACAAAGTGTACAGGGTGTCCCGTTAAGCGTACGGAGCGGCAGTATTCTAGAACGGTAAGGCCTAGAGGTTTGGGAAAAAAATCCTTATAAGCAAAGTGACCAAGAGAAATAGCTGGAAATTATTTTGAAGTTCGTAATTCCACCGCTAGGGGGCGTAACTGCCATTGAGAAACATAAAGTTCCCGCTATCTCAGAAACTTAGACGATGAGCTATAACTTTGACAACATCATTTAATAGCTTGGATAATACCGCATCGCTTTTGTTTTGCGATATTTCTCATATCTGTCATAATAAGGGAGGGGGAGGCCAATGCGTTTTCATATGTTTACATTTTAATATCTCCTAGACCATTCAACCGATTTGAATGTTTTCGGTGTTGTTTGAAAGAGCATTTTATGCTCTTTTTAAAGATATTTTCAGTAAGACCGTCTGCTTTAAAACAAATGAGCTAGAGGACGTTATCTGCAGCGATTACATATTTTTGTGATTTTTGAAGAAAAGTTAAATGGAACGATACTATTTACTTCACAGACCCTTAGTCACCTTAAAATTTGCTAAATTTTAGTGAAAACCGCATCTCGATATCGCCACCCGTTCTCGAGTTATAGAAGAAAATGTTAAAAACTCGAGTGCCATCAATCGGATCCAGTTACCTCATCGAGAAAAACAAATCACATAACCATGGTAACTGTAAACATGTCATTTACTAACGCAGAAGCGTATGATAGAGCGTATGATGATTTATTTTCAATGTTTCGAATACGATGCAACTGCATGGCAAAAATGTGCAATGCAATTACGACAAAGAAAGACATTTTTCTCTAGAAGTGTTTTTAAGATTGACTTAGCGATTACGGAAAACTGGCAACGTGTAGCCCATTCAGACATCTCTATGAATTCGTAAATCACATTGGTGCGCAATGTGATCCCACATAATCTGGGAACTCCGAAAACAATTGTCCACAAGAGTTCTCAAGAGAATAATATCTCCACCACGTTGTTTTACATCAGGCCTTAACAGATACCGATTATGATAACAGACTGAACTATTACCATTGACTTTTAAATATGATTTGGGCAAATCCAAACCTTTTATCACAAATGCTATGGATGCATGAAGCATCTGTCCACAAGCTGATGTAAACTTGCATAATATGCATTCTTGGTTCGAGCAAAACCCACATTGCTTTCACCCCTTTATCTATTGGGTAGACTAAACGACCTGACTTTTCAAGAAAAACCAATAACCAGGGAAAATATGACAAAACACTAAATACCAGTAAAAACGTGTCCAGGGCCGAGACTTAAGCAGCGCTTTTTTTTCGTCGAAACTAGATTAAATAAATGCATCGAGGTTTATGGAAGGCATTTCGCACATTAGTGAGTTATTTTTGCCAAAAATTTAAGTTATTCTAAGTGTTTTGGTTTATTTTGTTTTATTATCATTGTTGATGTTTCATTGATCCGTTGGCTTTTCAACACGCCTCAAAAGTAGTTTTGAAGCAGTTCTAAGCTTGGATAAAGTGTGAAGGAAGGTTCTAGATAATAAAATTTTTGTTCTCTCTTATTTGTTTCCTAAGGTAACTTGATCCGATTAAGATATACGAATTTTTAACATTTTCTTTTATAATTCGAGAATGGATGGAGATATCGAGATGCGGTTTTCACTAATATTTAGCAAATTTTATGGTGATTAACGGTCTGTGAAGTAAATAGTACCGTTCCATTTAACTTTTTTTCAAAAATCACAAAAATATGTAACCGCTGCAGATAACGCCCTCTAGCTTATTTGTTTTAAACCAAGCGGTCTTACTGAAAATATCTTTTAAAAGAGCATGAAATGCTCTTTCAAACAAGACCAAAAATATTCAAATCGGTTGAATGGTCCAGGAGATATTAAAATGTAAACATATGAAAATGCATTGGCCTCCCCCTCCCTTATTATGACAGATATGAGAAATATCGCAAAACAAAAGCAATGCGGTATTATCCAAGCTACTAAATGATGTTGTCAAAGTTATAGCTCATCGTCTAACTTTCTGAGATAGCGGGAATTTTATGTTTCTCTATGGCAGTTACGCCCCCTAGCGGTCGAATTACGAACTTCAAACTAATTTCCAGCTATTTCTCTTGCCTACTTTGCTTATAAGGATTTTTTCCCAAACCTCTAGGCCTTACCGTTGTTGAGATACAGCCGCTCCGTACGCTTAACGGGACACGCTGTATATGTTACCGTCAATCTGTATAATTCAGGTACTCTATACAATGCCTAGGTAATGTATAAAATACCTGGGGTGTCTAGGCAATGTATGAAATATTATGAAGATTATTGTCCCTTAGATACTTTACCTAGGTAATGTATACAATTCTTAGGGATTATGTAGAGTACCTGTTGGTCGACGGGCAATGTGTAAAATAAATAGGTTTTGGTCTGTATTTATCAATTTTTACACATAATAAACTTTTTTATAATCTGTAAGTTATTGTACAAAAAAGGCACCTAGTACCTTTCTGTAACTATAGTAAAATCACAATTAAATTACACTAAATTAAAATTTTTCTGGGTTAACTAACATAATGTCATTTGCTTATAAGCAATCAAGTAATCAGTATTAAATGTAAAATTTGTAATAAAATACAACTTTTCTTTACCAATACTTTATTCCGACTAAAACCTAAAATTGAAATGTAACAACAAACATGTGTTCACACACAAAAACCAGTCTTACAAAAATAAACCAAAATAAACCATATTCTACATCTCTCCCCCTAAAAAAAATTAAACTAATCTAGTATATACATATACAAATACTCTCTCCGTCAAAAAAAAATCTATTCATATGCAAGTCGTTCAGGTGCTTTTATTTGTCTTTTTGGTCTATTATTAACACTTACACCTTGTTCAGGAGAATCAAAAATTTCAATTATTTCAGTGTTTTCTTTTGTGTCTGTGATAGGTAAAGGCGCCAGTGAACTCTCAACACTTCTACATTCTTATATTTTCTATATTCTTATATTTGATTTGCGTGGCGTTTCCATACTTTACCAACCTCAGACACATTACATAAATAAACACATTTTTCAATTCTTTTAATTATTTTACCCTTAACCCACTTAGTTTTCATTGGAATTCTATAATCCTTAACAAATACATATTGTCCTATGCTAAAATTACATTTCCTAGATCCGTTATTATATTTTAGTTGTCGCCTTTAGCCTTTAATTACATTATTATTTATTGAATAATTTTTCCTACTCCTTTTATAGATTTTAGGATTCATTATATTAAATCTGAAATTAATATGTCTTTTGAACATAAGAACAGAAGGTTTCTCTTTAGTTGTTGCAAAATATCATCGTAAAAACATATTACACAATCTAAACCTTGTAACAAACTTTCCATAACTTTTTGAAAATGAGCCGGTGCTGAAGTTATACCGAACGGTAACCTCGTGTATTTAAACAACCCTTTATGTGTTGAGATTGTTGTTAATTCTCTGGAATTTTCTTCTAATAATATTTGTTGATATGCTTGAGACAAATCTATTTTGGAAAATATAACACTCCCCTGCATTGAATTTAAAAGTTCGTCAATTCTGGGAATTGGATATCTTTCTATTTCCAAACATGGATTTATTGTCACCTTAAAATCTCCACATATGCGCACTGATCCATCTTTTTTTATAATAGGAACAATTGGCGTTCCCCACTTACTAAATGAAACGGGTTCTAGTATTCCTTCATTGACTAATCTATCTAATTCCATTTCAACTTTTCTTTTTAAAATAAATGGCAAAGGTCGAGGTCTAAAAGAATTTGGAGTAACATCTTCAGATTTTAACTTCAAAAATATTGTACAATCTTTAAATGTTCCCAATTTATCGCAAAAAACGTTCTTAAATTCTTTTCGTAATTGAATAAGTTCTTTATTACAACTAACAAAATTTAAATCGCGATTTTCTTTAATTCCTAAATTAAATAATTCTAAAAAATCTCTACCAACGATTGGTAGAGATTTCTACCAATCGAGATTTCACCATTTCTAATCACAAAAAAATTAAAGTTTACATCTTTTTTTGCGTATTTAACTCTTAATTTAACATATCCTATTGGTTTAACTTTTTGACCATTATAAACATATAAAATTTTATTTGTTTTATATAACCTATAGTTAGGAAAATTCTCTAAATATAATTTCTCATTAATTGCTGAGATACATGAACCAGTATCTATTTGAAAAATCATCATTTTGCCATGTATTTCGACATTCGCAACAATTTGTTTATTATCATTACTAAATCTAGTAATGTCGAAAATAATGTCGAATAAATATTAAAAATTTGATCTTCTAAAAAATGTTGAAAATTTTTTACTTTATTACGACAATTAGATGCAATGTGACCTTTTTATTACATTTGTAACAAGTAGCATTTTTAAATTTACATGAATCAATCATGTGGCTAATGCGGTTCTGTACAGCTAAAGCGTTTTTTAAGCATAATGGGCAAACAACTTTAGAACCATAGCCTTCTGCCATATCTTTCTCCGGAGCAGCACAAATAGCATGAATGGGTCTATTGCATGTTCTACATGAATGAGCAGCCGTTATCTCTTCAGTACAAACACAGCACAAGAGTGGGGAATCCAATGATTGCTCACGTTCTGATATGAAATTCAGAACATCTAAGGGTTGTCCATGTACCTCAGAAGGAAGACCTTCAACATTCGCAGGTTCATCAAGAATCTCGACACTTC